CTAGGGTTTACCTAGCTAGGCAAGAGAGAGATAGGCAAAAAGGAGGTTCACTAGCAAGAATGAGGATACAAATAGCAAACCCTAGAAGGGTTGTACTTGCTATAGAGCACCCCACTACAGGCTAGAGCATAACATTCTGACACACCCCCATAGCCAAAGTGGGGTGTAATCAGCAGAGCAAGCAAAGCAGAACAAGCTCAGGGTGGATCACAATGTTACCACACATTCTGAGCACAAGTACAAGAAGCAATATTTTATAGTTCACAATTATGAGCAAAGCTAGAGGCTATCGCAGAGGGCTAGTGTGGAGGAGGAGGGACTATGAGAGGAGAGGAGGTAGTGGGCGGCAGCAGAAGCTGCTGGCACACGGCGCAACTGGAGCAACTGGCACACGGGCAACTGGAGCAACTTGCACACTGGCAACTGGAGCAACTGGCACACGGGCTACTGGAGTAACTGGCTCCGCGGCTAAAAGTAGCGGCAGACGAGCAACGGACTCACGGGCGACTGGAGCAACGGGCTCACGGGCGATTGGCGCAACGTGCTCACGCGCGACTGGCGCAACGTTCTCACGGACGACTGGAGCTGCTGGCTTCTCGGCGGCCACCCCCTTCAACCTCCCCAAACTATCCACCCCCCATTTCACACACCCCCTACTGCACCCCTAGGGTCACTCACACCCCACCCCCTAGCACCACTCCGTCGACTCCCACACACCCACCCCCCTCAGCGGTAGCTGCAGCAGTGGGAGACGGAGGAGGAGGAGGAGGAGCAGGTGACGGCTCACACACCCGCCACCCCCATACCCGTCACCCCCATACCCTGAGTGTGCGGTAAGCGACCTCAGGTGTGCGCGAATCGTGCACAAGTGTGCGGGAAGCGAACTCAAGTGTGCGCAAATAGTGCACAAGCGTGCGGGAAGCGAACTCGGGTGTGCGGTAAGCGAACTCAGGTGTGCGGGGAGGGGGGCCGCAGGGCGACACGCGGGTCCACGAAGCGGCGCACGGGTCCCACGGGGTGGCGCGCCGGGATGGCGGGGCCGCGCGCGGGTCCCTAGGGCGACGCAACGGGATCGCAGGGGGCGCGCGCGGGTCCCCAGGGGCGACGCGACGGTCGACGGGGTAGACGCGCGGTTCTCCGAGGGCGGTGCGACGGTCGACGACGAGGGACGCGCGGGTCCCTGGGGTGACACGACGGTCGACGGGGAGGGACCCGCGGGTCCTCGGGGTGACGCGTGAGGCAGAAAACCGCCGCGCGCCCCGAGCGCGCGGTGGGCAGAAAACCGCCATGCGCCCCGAGCACGTGGCGGGAAGAAAATAAATGTCGCACGCCACGGGGCGCGCGACAGACAGGATAGCAGCGGAAGCAGGTGGGCCCACAGGCTAGGAGCGTACTAGCTCTGACACCATGTGAGAGTAGTAGGTATAGTGAGGAGCCATAGCTAGGGTTTACCTAGCTAGGCAAGAGAGAGTTAGGCAAAAAGGAGGTTCACTAGCAGGAATGAGGATACAAATAGCAAACCCTAGAAGGGTTGTACTCGCTATAGAGCACCCCACTACAGGCTAGAGCATAACATTCTGATAGGGCGCTAGTAGGCACCAGTAGTGGTGGGCCCTAGGAATCGGTCCTAGCGGAGGACCTGCTCTGATTCGCAGAAGAAGTGATTGCACTATGAAAGTTGGAGTACAAGTAGGAAACCCTAACTTTGTGTACCCCCTAAAGGCTAACCCACTATAGCCTACACAATTATAACACATATAGTGTTTGACAGACCAATCTTTTGGAATTCGCAGAAGCAGGAGCTAGTTGCCCTGTCGTCAGCCGAAGCGGAATTCATCGCAGCAACCGCAGCAGGAACTCCTGCAGGAAGCCAAAATTCCAGCTTCGTCCACCTTTCGTCTTCACTACGACAACCAGAGCGCGATTCGCATCGTGAACAAACCTGGTTTCGTCAACCGCACCAAGCACATTGCGCTGCGGTATTTCTTCGTGAAGGACAAAGTGGACAAAGGCAAGGTTAACTTAACCTACTCCCCGACTGGTGACATGGCAGCAGAGTTTCTCACGAAGCGACTGCCACGCCAGCATTATCAGCATTACTCCGAACTTAGCGGAGTGGTCAAGAAGGGCAAGTCGAGCTGCGGCCAGGAGTGAAGGGGGGTGTTACGAATAGCAATTAATGAATATTACAGTTCACTCCCGACTGCAGCTAAAGGAGCATGCAGTATCGAGAACGAATGTGAAGAGTCAGAATTGACTCGAAACGTTAGACGGTTGAGATGCATCTGGACCGTCGGAGCAGATGGTATCGGGCAGTTGGATGCAGAAGGATTCTGACGGGAACAGTTTCGTAACTGTACGCGCTGCACGGTTGGGAATGAATTTGAATAAGGGAAGGTACCCCTTAGAGTACATGGCTAGCTAGGTCGATTCGTATTCCGCTGTACTCTTATTTATATCGTTGTATTTGCATGTTTTTATTATCCCAAGCATTTTACGTTCTCTCTGCTATTGAGGTTAAGGGCCCACCATTACTAGACTACAAGTGTCCGAACCCTCCTGAGGTGATTCTGGGTACGATCTATTTCTGATCGCAGCAATGCATATGGTGATATTTTTGTTTTCTCCTTCCTGGGTTACTTATCTCATTTTTGGTGCAGAATGTACCGTTCGGAACGATTTAAAGGATGTCACCAAAGTAATATTGAATAATAAAAAAACCCATCCGATACCCCAGGGACTGTTGGAAAGCAAGACAGATGTGGTTCTGATGAACTGTGCTTCTGATTGTGCCATTTTGCCCTCAACGTTGTGTTCTTTTTAGTTCCTGTTTTGATAGTGTAGTGGATCCATCTCACTTATATCTTCCCAGCTGTACGTGCCTCTATTCGCGCTGATGTGTTTTGTGTAGGGAAGACGCGGTACGAGATCTGTTGTGCATGAGGGCCAACACATCAGAGCCTGGACTAGCTTCCCACTGCCCTGGACAAACCAAGTTCCACTCCGCGCAGCCACCTAGACCCAGCACCTGTGGTGTTTCCCCAGATGCATAACCTTTCACAGCTCCCTATCCGTGAAAAGGCAAACGCTCGGAGCCGCTCTTTCTTCGTTGTCCCCGCCATCAGCTGGTAGGCGCGACCCTCAGTCTTCATTATGGCGAAAGGAATGTTGTGGTTTTTGCTGGTATGCGTTCTTGTAGCGATTGCAGAAGTCGATTCCTCCATTCCAGCCATTTTCACATTTGGAGATTCTACGGCTGATGTTGGGGAAAACAACTACCTTCCCTTCTCTTCTTTCAAGGCTAACTTTTTGCCGTATGGAATCAACTACATTCCGATGTCTGGACGGTTTTCGGATGGAAGGCTTGTTGGGGATTTCCTAGGTGGGTTTTCCGCCGTCACGCGATGCTTCAAATATGTTCATTTTGAAACTGAAGCGCATTCTGTACATCGCAGCTCAGTACATGGGCCTTGATCCAGCACCTCCGCTGCACCAACCCAAGGCCAATTTCAGCAGTGGAGTGAACTTCGCATCGGGGGGTGCAACAATAGAGAAGATTTCTAACCCGTTCCAGGTAAGATCGTGTGCGAATCAAGTAAGAACCTATCGCTGCTATTTTTAGCTGACGTGCCTCTTCGTTTTTATCAGTCTATTGGGCTTAGTCGCCAAGCACTGGAGTTTGCATTATTCAACAACATTACCATGTTGAACCGCCAAGTGGGTGACTATATAATGCTCATTTAGCTGTATTCTGTAAATGTATTCTTAGCGTCTTATCATGCCCGTCGAGTCTACGGCAGGCTGACGCATTGCGTAGGTCTCTGTTCTTCTTTTCCGCGGGAGCCAATGACGTCATTGCGTATGCTGCAACCAAGAACGGTTCCAGTCCTGAAGCTTTTATTAAATCTATTGTGCAGAAAGAAGTTCGACTGGTAAAGGTACCTTTATCGTTCTCCGATTCTTGTTACTTTCTTTCGTTTTACATCCTCTCACAGTTTCGATATCCATACAGAGACTGTACAGTCTGGGAGCTCGCAGGTTCCTTATTGCTGGTGCGGGTCCCATCGGCTGCACCCCTAGTGTCATGGTTTACACTCAGGCTACGAATTGTAGCCGTGAGGATTCTGTTAACGTTCTGGCAGCAGCGTTCAACATGGCATTAAATCAGACTCTCGTAGATATTCAACAGAAATCAAAGCTGCCAAATGCGACACTACTGTTTGCAAATCCCTACGACCTTGTGTTGGGAGCATCAATCAACCCAGGAAGCTATGGTGAGGAGATAGTGGTGTCTGAACTTGTTCCTGTGTTTGTAGTACATCTCTCACACTGAATCTTGCTGTGCTGCAGGATTTAAAGTTGGAGTTGGCGCATGCTGTGGCCAAGGGAAGTTGAATGCTGAAGTTTGGTGTGGTCAAGAAGATGCTGGTGCATGTTCAGCACCTCAAGACTACGTTTATTGGGACGGTTTGCATCCTACCCAAGCCATGTACCAGGTAGTCGCAATGAGCTTTTGGGACGGGCCCACAAACTTCATCTCACCCATGAACTTGAAATCTCTTAGTGTTCAAGATCCCTGAGCGTGTAGGGTGTGCAAAGTTTCTTGTATTTTGGTATGTGTCAAATCTTGCAAAACGAAGATATTGGTTTAGTGGAAACTCAACTGGCACAAGCAAGTGTAACACTTTCGAAATGAGTCATGTCGAAGCTCAAATCTGCTTCTCCCTACACATTCGTTGCTTTCCCCCACCATCAGTCAGTGCCTGCCACGGTACATCTTCCACTTAGTAGTTCTAGAGTCCCTGTTATACGGTATGGCGTTATCACAAGCAACTCTGCCATCGCGGATATGTGCGTATTCCCCGAGTGAACTAGCACCTCGCAGCAGGACATGTTTCTCTCTCACAAGTCTTACCGCGGGCAGAGCAGTTGCGACTTCTGTTGCGCGGGCAGCAAGAAAAGGATCGTCGCTGGACATGTTTTCTGGTGAAGTATCCGAGATGCTGAGTACGCATGTACTCCAGCGCCCCCGCTTGAGAAGAAATTCATTAGTCGCACCTGAGGTCTGCTATCCGGAATCACGAATCACAGGAGGAATAAGCGGAATTAATCGCAAAATCTCCAGGAGCCGTGTACGTGTTGTTGCTGCTAGTGCAGTCGGTTCGTCTTCAGGCGATGCGGCAGGAAGCAGCAGCGCTGGGATTGAGGGCGCGGCAAGCGGTGGAGAGAGCGTCAAAGAGCTGAAGCAGCGGCTGCTGCGGGCTGTGGGGGGCACTCAAAGGGGCAAGGTGAGTCCGTTGTATCACCATTTAGGTGTCATGGCTTCACGGGACAGCGTGTTCTGTCTGTTTAGAGCAGTTTTAGGGTACCGGAAGGGGCACGGTGAGACACTTGGATCAAATCGCGTGCAAACCATTTCCATTCAGACTATACGAAGAAGAGTCGTTAAAAAGTAGGTGTATCTAGACAGACGGTTGAACTTCCTCCCCCGGCCCTCCCTCCGTCACCCACGTTTTCCCATGCAGGCAGCTTCTCCCCAGCAGCGAGAGCAGATACTGCAACTAATAGAGGTGAGCGCAGCAGCAGTAGCAGCAGCAGCAGGGTGCGTGGGCCACAGGATTTTGAGGGTGCACAGGGTTTACTGTGTCCGTTTGTTTCTCAAAACTCCACCCCTTGGTGCTCGATTCTCCTACCCTGTCATTCCCCCCCCCCCCCCCCCCCCCCCCCTATCCCCGCTCCTCGCCTGCTACTCCCGTCCCGTCCCTCCCGTATCCCTTTCAACCACATCGACATTCGTGTGTCCCTTTACCATACGATAACATGATGGCATGATGGCGTGATGGCTTATCTTGGCATGGTGGCGTGGTCACATCCTGGCGTGCTTGGAGGCATGGTGGCATGGTGGCATGGTTGCATGATGGCATGGTGACATGGTGGCATGGTGGCATGGGTGCATGGTCCATGATGACATGATGGCATGATGGCATGGTTGCATGATGGCATGGTGGCATGGTGGTGGCATGCTGGTATGGTGCCATGTTTGCAGCAACTGGAGGCAGCCAACCCAACGCCCTCGCCCATGCTGTCTCCCCTTTTGGCCGGCACATGGGCTCTGGTCTACATCGCCCCCACCGAAGGTGAGTGCATGGCGAATGAGCAGCGGACCACACTAGAGGAGGGGAAGACACGTGAAGAAACAGGGAAGGGGAGGACACATGAGGAGCGGATGGGAGAACACATGAGGAGAGGATCACAGATGGAATGACAGAGTAGAACCTGCAATAGAGCTTCTTTGAGGTAGTGCCTGCTGTCTGGAAGTCCGGTGTTTCCAACAAGTACAGATACGACACTTTCCCGTAAATATCCATCTCGAGTTGTGTCGCATTATTCCATAGAACTGAAATTGTTATATGGAATATTGTAACAGCGCGAAGAGTGTAGAGAGCTGTGGTTGTGGCTAAGGTTGGAGACCGCGAGGAAAACGAGGACTCAGGGTACAGCTCGAGGCAGGGCTCGAAAGGGGGTAAGTACGGTTGGATGGGGGCCACAATGACGTGGCGGCGGGGCATGACAAGCTGAGTTGGGAGTTGGGGAGAGGGCCAGCTAAGCAAGGCAGGTGACGAGGGAAACTCCAAGGCGCCCTCACGGCGGAGAAAACCAAGAAAGGTTTGACAGGTTGTCTCATGCACAGTTGGCGGTGCTCCTAGGGCGATTCGGGGAGGGGAACAACAAAACTCGTAGAGTGACAGAGCTAAACCACTTCTGTTTGTTCTCTCGCTACTGTGGTATGCCTGTATGCTCTTCTACTAGTGAATCGGCTGGAGCAAATCTTGATCCACTAAAGAGAGGCCAAACAGAGGGTGTGCGGAGAACTAGGGACATCGTTTGTCCTAGTGCGGATCGCTTACAAACAGAAGTCTAAATGACCGGAATGTCGTTGCGGAGCGGCACCCGGTTGCCAGGGGAAGAGAATTCCCGAGAGAAGGAAGATCGCGCGGCCGAGAAAGCCAGCGCGGGACCGGCGGAGCCCGAAGCCGAGGAAGAAGAGAATCGGGGAGAGCCGAGCCACCCGGAGCAGGGAGATCGGCGATCGCGTGACGAAGAGAAGCGGCGCGAGGAGGAGTTCGCGATGAGAGCGGATCGACCGCTCAGAGGAGAACGGCGCTCGCCGAGGAAAACCTTGGAAGGTGCGAACTCGGCGGAAGTGACAACGCCGAAGGCGCGATCGTCTAATTGGCGTGTGCCGGGAGAGGAAGGATCTTCGGGAGCCGAGATCGGAGAAGGATCAGCAGGGCGCGCGTCGAGGAGGACGTTGGGAGAAGAGGGTAGCAGATACCGCTACACGAGCTTACCTAAGGTGGAGGTACCTGCACGCTTCACCGGCGATCAAGAATCGGGGCCCAGGCTGAAAACCTACGCGATGCATGTGCGCAGCGAGAAATACTGCTGGGAACTGGACGGGCTGGATCTACGTCACTTCTTCCGCTCGCTGGGCAACACGCTAGCGGGAGAGGCGGAGGCCTTCTTCCTGGAAATTCGGGATCTGCTCCTCGAAGAGGAGAGGGACAAGCTGGGCAGAGTTAGGCGAGATGCAGAGGGACGCGTCATTCGACTGGAAGACCCCACGGAAAGGTTCCTGGAAGAATTGCAGACTCACTTCCCGACCCAGACGCCGGCGAGGTTGAGGGAGTTTGAGCAGGTGAGGCGAGGGCATCGAGAATCGCTGCTGGCGTACTACCGGAGGGTGAAGCAGTTGGCGGAAGACATCAGCTGTCACGATCCGCGTATCGTGGTGGCGAAATTCCTGGATGGGCTCTCGGGAGAGCTGGCGCGTACTGTGAGGGACAGAACCTACGATCTGGGGCCGAACGCGTCACTCCGGCAGGCGTACGAGATTGCTTGGCGACACGAGCAGTCACTCAGTCTTTATGACCTGGGAAGACGGACAGACAGGGGACCTCGGGACAAAGAGAGAAGGCCAGTGACATGGAGTGGGGCCTTGCTGGCCGAAGGTGAGGAAGAAGAGCCGGACAAGGCGAGGGAGCGCAGAGGACAAGTCAGACGGGCCAGGAATCCTGCTGCGGCCGCCGGAGAAGAACCAGTGTGCTACAAATGCCACGAGCCTGGCCACTTCAAGAGAGACTGTCCCAAGGTCCAGACGTGCTCATATTGCCAGCGGAAAGGACATAACAAGGAAAGCTGTTATACTCGTCAGAGAGAAGAGCGGCACAAGGGAGGGAGGCGCAGTCGGATAGCAGCTCTGGAGGAAGAGCTGAGGAAGCTGAAGGCTGAGGAGGTGTCCAGCGGTGAAGAAGAGGAAGCCACCGGGTTGATGGCCAGAGGACAGAGTGAGTCAGGGATGCTGACCGGGCAAGGGAGGAGCTGGGCCTGAGAAGCGAAGGGAGGGATAACAGAAGCTCTACCCCGATAGCAAGACGTGGCCCGAGAGCAAGCGTAGAACACTCGGTAGAAAGAGCAGAAGGAGTGGTGACAGCAGCAACAGCGGCAGGAGAGGTCGGGCCCCGACGTCACCCGTTCGAGAGGCTGGCGGCACGTCCCTGCGTAGTAGAGGCATTGGAGGGGACGGTGGCAGTGGAAGGAAAATACCCAGGAACGACAATCATCGATACAGGAGCATCGCAAGTCTTGGTGGGGAGAAGGATGGCTGAACGGCTGGGGTTGCACCAGGAAGACAAGGTGACCAGGGAAGGTGTAAGGATACAGACTGCAGAAGGAGGAGGAGGGAAGTGGCTACCTAGGTCCTTGAAACCTCAGGAGGTGGTGCTGTCCCCAGGGAGCGAGAACGAAACAAGGATCAGGGTGCACTGCTTCATCTCGGACTCGGAGGACTACGACTTACTGCTAGGTATGGAACTGCTGTACAAAGTGGGGGCCATGGTAGACACCTGGACCGAGAAGGTGACTTACCAGCCGCTATATTGGGATCCCGAAGCAAGGAAGGAAGAGCATCTAGCAGCGAGTCTGCCAGCACGATTCCTGAGGGGAAAAGTGGCCTACTAGGAGCCGTCACCGGAGAGGGTGCCAGAGTGGAACTACGAGGACTGCGGGGTGTTCCTGGAAAAGACCAAACAAAGGAAGGAGGTGGAAGAGGCAGCCGGGGAGAGAGTGGGAGAGCTCCGGGAGGCAAGAGGGTTAGCAGAGCCTACTTATGACTTCGAGACCTTCCACAAGCCGGTGACTCTGTTGGAGCTATTTGGAGGCATAGGCCCGGGACTGGCAGCCACAGTTCGGACCGGACTAACTATCAAGCGATGGGTGTACATCGAAAAAGAGGCAGAAAAGCGCCGCATGGCATACCACCACGCGAGAATGCTACACCAACACTACCCCGAGAGATTGCCGCTGGCGGTAATAGAGCGGGCAGAGGTGGAAGTGGAAGGCCTGGCAGAAGTGGAGATGGTAGATGAAGGAGTGGTGGAAACATGGGGAGACATAGACTTAATGGTGGCGGGATGGGAGTGCCAGGGCCTGTCAAGGGCAGGCCAAGGAAGGGGAATGACGGATGCACGCACGGGACTGTTCCAGGAGATGATCAGGATTATGAAATTAATCAAGAGGCGGCAGGGACCATTCGCGTACATAGTGGAGAACCTGGACGTGGCGGAGGACGAGAGGGCCCTAGTCCGAGAAGCTCACAAGGCGGTGACCAGAGAGCTGGGACATGGGGTAGCGTGGGATGCTGCTCAGATGGGGGCCAGGGCACATCGGGTGAGGCGGTATTGGCAGAACCTAGTGCCCGAGCCAGTGTTAAGGGACCAGCTGGGGAGAATGCAGAGGCCGATGCCACGACTGGTCCAGGAGATTCTGGAGCCGGGGAGGAGGCCCGCCCCAGTCACGTCGCCAGATTGCAAGCTGCAGTTGCCATGCAATGAGGTGGGGGCACCCCGACAGGCGTGGCCCACTTTGGTGGCCTCTCCAGGCAGCTATGCTTTCCGGAAAGAAGGAGATCAGCCGGGACCGGGGATGGTACAGGTAATAGAGACGGGAGAATGGGAGGAACCGCTGGCGGTAGAAAGAGAAAGAGCTATGGGGTATCTACGGAACGCCACAGCGGTAGGAGGAGTCTCAGAAGAGGCTCGCAGGAGAGCTCTGGGAGGAGCGATTGACCAACATGCGCTGGTGTGGCTGCTATACCGCGCAGAGAAGAGGCAGGAGGTGATGAGGGCTCAACTCTTGATGCACTGGAGGTGGGCAGACATCATGGAGATGACCGAGGGCGAACCAGAAAAGGCGCAGGAGCTAGCGGCTGAATGGAGAAGGATGAGGGCTGATCAGCTGGCGCGCGGAGAGTGGCAGGAAGGGATGCTGAACAGCCGAGGGATTCACCTCATGGCGAAGCAACCAGAGAACAGTCAGGCGGAAGAGACGGCAGAGAGGGAAGAGCAAGCGGAAAGTGCACCGAAAGGGGGAGGATGTGAAAAGGAGACGGAAGAAGTAGCAAGCTGGACCATTGGCGAGGCTTTGAGTCAGGAGCAGAAAGAAAAGCTGAGACGGGTCTTGGCCAAAGCAAGGGGAGCATTTGCATACTCACTGAAGGAGTTGGGGAAATGCAATCGAGCAGAGATGGAGATAGAACTCCAGACTGAGGTGCCGGTCTATCAGAGAAGGAGAAGAATGAGCCCCGGGGACAGGGATGTGGCAGCAGAAAAATGTCAGGAGCTTCTGGAGGCGGGATTGATCAGAGAGTCCACGTCAGAATACGCAGCGACGACCGTAGTGGCAGCCAGGAAAGACCTCACAGGAGAGACCTTGGCCCGCAGGATGTGTGGGGATTATAGGGGCTTGAACCAAGTGACGAAGAGTGACAGGTACCCCATGCCAATAACTGAGGAGATCTTCGACAAGCTGTCGAAGGGCCGAGTGTACTCAACGCTGGATCTACGGCAAGGGTTCAATCAAATTCCAATAAAGGAGGAAGACAAGAAGAAGACTGCGTTTCATGGACCCGACCGTCTCTATGAGTGGAATTACATGCCGTTCGGCTTGAAAAACGCGTCGGCTAAATTCCAACGGGTCATGGACCAAGTGTTACAAGGGCTGACCTGTGCAATGTGCTACATTGACGACGTGGTGATCTACAGCGAGGATGCAGAGAGACACATTCAAGACGTGGCTGACACCCTGGCAGCCATCCAAGCTGCGGGACTAACATGTCACCCAGGGAAGTGTACATTTGGAGTGACAACAGTGGCTTATCTGGGGTTTCAAGTGGGAGAAGGAGGTCTGTCCGTGCAGCAGGCCAAAGTGGAAGTGTTGGACAGGTTGAGAGCGCCGACGGACCGAAGCACGCTCAGGGCCCAGCTCGGGTTCTTGAGTTATTACCGGAAGTTCATACCGAACTTCAGCAAAACAGCAAGGCCCCTCAATATGCTCTTGAGGGAAGATCAAGGATGGGAATGGGGGGAAGAACAGGAAGGAGCATGGAGAGTTCTGAAGGAAGCGGTAAAGACAGCACCCATGCTGAAATTGCCGGACCCCGAGGAGCCATTCACCTTGTATACTGACTGGAGCAGCAGCGGGCTGGGGGCAGTCCTCTGCCAGAAGGAAAGAGGCACGGAAAGAGTGGTGGCATACGCGAGCCGGTCCTGCAGTCCTGCCGAAAGCAATTACAGCTCGTATGAAGGAGAGGGGCTGGCAGCAGTCTGGGCGGTGGAGCTGTTCAGAGCGTACTTGCAGGGACGCAAGTTCACTCTCGTTACGGATCATCAACCTCTGTTATGGTTGATGAGGAACCAAACGCTGAAGGGCCGTAACGCAAGGTGGGCGATGAGGCTCCAGGAATTCGAATTCGAGGTGAAGCACAGGCCGGGCAAGACGTTGCAGCATGTAGATGGGCTGTCTAGGCAAGGAGCAGAAGAGAGAAGGGAGAACCAGAGGAGCTCGGAAGCGGGACTAGCCTGCCTGGCCGTAGCAGCGGAACGGGAAGGCTGGAGGAGGAGGACAGAAACGGATAAAGGCAACAAGGAGATCTGGCTGGACGAGCCGGTACTACGATGGGTGAAAGGCCTGGGGGCAGAGGGAGAAGAGGTGCCAGAGCGAGTACGAGCCCGAGGGATTCACTACCGCTGGCAGGACGAACAGCTACAACTGTTGACAGAGGACGGGTGGAGAATCGTACCCAAACCCGAGGAGAGGCAAGAGCTGATCCAGAAAGTGCACACCCGCTTGGGGCACTTCGCCGTGGAAAGGACGGTACAACTATTGCAGACAATGTACTGGTGGGTGGGCCTCAGGAGAGAGGTGAAGGAACGCTTAGAGAAATGTGAACCATGCAGCAGGAACCGGGCGACGATGGAGAAGGCCAAAGCGGAGCTGCACTCGCTGCCGATTGGAGGCATCGGGTACAGGTGGTCTCTAGATATTGCAGGAGAGCTGCCTCTGTCCAGGAGAGGTAAGCAGTACATTTTGGTGATGATAGAGCATACCAGTAAATGGGTGGAGGTAGCCACGCTGGTGCGGAAATCAGCAGCAGCGGTTGCAGAAGCGTTTGTGCAACAAGTACTCACGAGGTTCGGGGCGTGTGGAGAGGTCCTCACAGACCAGGGCAGCGAGTTCGCGGGGGAATTTGACAAGATGCTGAAGGAGGTGGGCATCACACATCGCAGAACGTCCAGGTATCATCCACAATCAGATGGCCTGACGGAGCGTATGGTGCAGACCATAAAAAGGGGGTTGAGGAAATACTGTGAAGAAGAAGAGAAGAGGGACTGGGACGTCAAACTCCCATGGGTAGTGGCGGGGTACCGATTCAGCAAGCAACAGGCGCTGAAGGATTACTCGCCGTACTACTTGCTCTTTGGGAAGGAACCGATCTTACCGGTGGATGCCCCCAGGATAATGGTGGAGTCAATGTCAGTAGAGGACCCGGCAAAGTGGGCAGCGGTAGCAGCAGCCAGGGCCAGCTATCTGAGGACCGCAATGCCGGCGGCTTGGGAGAATTTGGAAGTGGCGCAGATCAGAGATGCCCGGCGCTACAGGCAGAGAAGGATGGAGGCCGGTGCTAATGCAAAAGGGGCTAGGGTGATAAACGTAGGAGACGAAGTGTATCTGAGGCAGCAGAGGCGAGACACCTTAGAATGCGGGTTGAGTCGGGAACGATGGAAGGTGAGGTCGAGGAAGGACTCAGGAGTGGTGATACTGGAGGGAGGGACAGGCAGAGTGATCCAAGATCACATCTCGAATGTTGCTAGGGCAGGCTCGTCACGACATGCCAGCGGGGACGCCAGGCAGGCCGTGAGGGGGCAGGAGAGTATGGTGCAACCACTGATTACGTACCAACGGAGGAAGGACAAGAGGATGGGAGATAGACCTGGAGCGTCAGCAGGGTACTAAGGCTGAGGAGAAGAGAGTGAGCCGCCGAAGGGGAGAGGACAGTGCGACAGTTGTTCAAGGGTTCAATACAAATATAACCTGGGAACGTGTTGCGTGTGACTGGCCTGCTGGGAATTAGTGAAGGGTTGTAGGTTGGTTGGCAGCTTCACACTAGGCAGTGCCGAATTTCTAGTGTCAATGTCATAGACATGGTCGTTCTCCTCATTATTGCTTGCTTGCAGTGTAAATGCAGCGTAAGGCTGACTTCAGCCAGTGGTAGATGCTATATGCATACACATTACAAGCTGTCCTGCATTCCATGAGAGGGGATCAGTTTTGCAGCATAGAGTCAATTCCCCTCTTCTCCTGCCCCCGATCACCACCCGCTCTCCCATTCCTTCCTCCCCTTTTCCCCCTCAACCTGCATGCAGCGTCATCCAATGACTTGGATGCATCAAAGGAAGGCCCGTTTCTTGTTTGTTTGAACCCTATTCCCTCATTCTCCCCCCTCCTCCTCGCCTCCCCTCCCTCTCCCCTCTTCCCTCCCCCTCCTCATCCCCTCCCACCTGCATGCAGCGTCATCCAATGACTTGAATTGAATGCTTCAAAGGAAGGCCCATTCCTCATTCCTTTGAATCCATATCTTTCACCTCTCGCCCCCTCATCCCCTTCCCCCACCCCTCCTCCCTGCATGCAGCATCCACAAATACCTTTGATGCATCAGAGGAAGGCCCTTTCCTCGCTCGTTGATTGAAACCAATTCCCTCCTTCTTTTCCCTCCCCCTCTTCTCCCCCCACGTTCCCCCTCCTCCCGTCCCACCTGCATGCAGCATCCACAAATACTTTGGATGCATCAGAGGAAGGCCCTTTCCTCGCTCGCTTAAAGCCCGCGGTGTTTGGAGGGGTCAGGCAGAAAGCAAGCCTGCAGGTGAGACGGGGTTGGGGCAGGCTAATCAGTCAATGTAGAAGTCGCTTTGGGAGGGAATGTTGAGGCACCTCGAGATTTTAAACTGAATATTTAGGCGCCTCAAAAAGGCGAGGCCAGAAGCGAGCTAGCAGGTGAGGCGTGGGGTTGGGACAGGCTTTCGGGTCGATGCAAACGTCAGTTGGGAGGGATTGGGCAGAAGGGAAGTGTGCACTGTTCAGGAGGCTGAATGGCAGGGCTTAGAGCCACGTTCGAGTCAGCTTACATTTCGCCTTGGAAAGGGTCGGGCGGAAGGGAAGCTTGGAGTGGTGCTAGTGATACTTAAGTCGATTCAATAGCCTTTTGTTTGGAAAGGGGTTGGGCCAGAAGAAAAGGCTGCTGGTATGCTGGGGATGAAAGGGATGGGAAGGGAGGGGAGGGCAGGGGAGGCGACTGACTGGGTGGGATATGTTTATGTGTGCACGTGACTGACTTGCCAATTCTAGGCTGAACGTGAGGGTGAACAGTCACATGGGTTGGATGGCATGTGATGGCATGTGATGGCAATGGGTGTGATGCCCGATGGCCCAAATATCTTATCAAAAGTAGTCACATCACATGCAAATAGTCATGCTCACATTATGCATGATTGATCGCCTCTTCTCTAAACTTCTTCTCCCGTTTCCCTCCTTTGCCTATTTCTTGCTTGCCACACCATCACCTGCACATTTCATGGCACACACGTGTCTTAATGTGATGCATGGGTAAATGCTACACTACATGGGTGGTGCTGGCCGGCATGCCAGATTATCCATCCAGACGAGGGAAGAGCAGAGAACGTGGCACTATTCACGGCATGGGGAGTAGATGGTGCGTGTGTGTGATATTTTCCATGGTGGCCGTTGTTTGAAGTAGTGTTTTGAGACGTCTCAAAACCCTACTTCAAACATGCGGCATGGGGAGTAGATGGTGCATGTGTGATATTATCCATGGTGGTCGTTAGTGCTGCTCTGTATGCTCCACTCGACAACAGCAGTTGGTTCTGCATGGTTTTCAAGGCGCCTCAAAATTCGTTGATTCTGCATGTTTCTGTCTGCAAGTTTTGCATTGGTGCTCCGCTCCACAGACAAAGCTTGCTCACTGCTGCAGTGGGGGGCGTTGATGGCTCTGCAGTGTGTCGTATCAACCCCCGTCCGTCCCCAACCCTTTTGCTTATTGCCTCTTCTTTCTTCTTCCATCCCTACCATCCACAACACACACCCATCGATTCCCACCTGTCTCCACCGCACCACACCGTACCACCAGGCGAGCTGCAGATAGACGCGGAGTGCAAGGCACCGGAGCAGGAGAGCATGCGGGGAGTGCGGTCCACTGTCCGCTTCCTCTCCTTCAAGCTCTCCCTCGGACCCCTCTCGTTCACGCTGCCCCTCTCCCTCATCTCCCCCACCGGGTACGTTGTTTCATGCTGCTGCTGCTGCTGCTGCTGCTGCCTCTTTGAGATGTCTCGAAGAAGGAGAGCATGCGGGGAGTGCGGTCCACTGTCCGCTTCCTCTCCTTCAAGCTATCTCTGTGCCCCCTCTTGTTCACGTTGCCCCTCTCCCTCATCTCCCCCACCGGGTATGCTGCTTCCTCCTGCTGCTGCTGCTGCTGCTGCTGATTTTGCTGCTGCTGCTGCTGCTGATTTTGCTGCTGCTGCCGCCGCCGCCGCCGCCGCCGCCGCCGCTGCTGCTGCTGCTGCTGCTTCTGCTTCTGCTGCCGCTGCCATTGCATTCGGGTGGCAAGGGTGGCAAGGGTGACAAGGGTGACAAGGGTGATTCATACCACCGTCTCTTCCTCTCTCACGCCCTCAATCCATTGTCGAGGGGTTGGTAAGGGGAATGACCCTGCTGCTACGCTTCCCCCCTCCCTCTCTCGCTCCCACATTCTCTCCCGCAGGTGGATCGATGTGATATACATTGATGAGGAGATGCAGGTGATAGAGGGGGGATAAGGGCTCCGTGTTCCCTACCATTCTCATTTACCATTCCCCTTACTTCCCAATCCTCCCAGGTGGATCGACGTGACATACATTGATGGGGAGGTGCGAGCGACGATGGACGATAAGGGCTCTGCTTACCTTGCCACGGGTTATGTGTTCCCTAATTCTCATTTACCCTCCCCCCTACCTCCCAATCCTCGCAGGTGGATCGATGTGACATACATTGATGAGGAGATGCGGGTGACAAGGGGGGATAAGGGCTCTGTTTTCCTTGCCACACGCGTCAAGGCGTGACGGGATGGGAAAGGAGAGATTGGGGGCTGGTGAGGGAGAGTGACTAGGAATGGTTGGGAGGAGCAGTTGTGGGAGGAAGGGCGGTGAGGTGAGGTGGCATGGTTTGAAGACTACAGGCAATCGTTTGATTTGAGTTAATTTGATTTGAAGATAGCTAAGCTGCTACACAAGGGCAACACTACCTATTATTGTTTTTTATATATTAAAAAAAACGTTTCAGATTGTTATAAAAGACTCTGCAGTGCAGCCAATTAAAACAGCAGCTCATGAAACAAGTATCATATGGTCAAACTTGCTTGAAATATATGAACAAATATTGGAGAGCACTAGACCTCCGGTCCTCCACCAACCTTCTGTACCTTCCTTTATTCCCGAGAAAAATCATATATACCACATCTCCCTTTTGCCTCATGTCAAATCATCCACGCGCAATCACACATGCCTAATCATGCACACTGAATCCCACATACCAAATGCATTCATGCATGCATCCCACAATCCCACAGGAGGACATCAGGAGGACCACCATGTACCACCCACCACATCAAACCATCACTGTGCACATTGCATACCTACGTATGTACCACTCACACTGCATATGCACAAACCTCTGCACCGAGCCTCTGTCTCCTCCCCCTGTTTCCTTCACCACCACCAGCACTACCACCAGCACTAGAACCCACCAACACCAACATCAGCACCAGCTGTTGCTGTGCTACTCATCCCCCTCCTCTACTCAACACAAACGTGAGCTGCCCCTATGCTCCTCCTACTCCTCTCCTCCTGCTACTGCTCCTCTTCCCCTTCAAAAGGCAGTCTTGCTCTTTTGTTCTGCTTCATCCGCTCCTCTCCTCAAACCACCTCCCCTCCGCTTCCATCCACCCTTTCCGAATAAGACATAGCAGCAGAGCTACCAGCAGCAGCACCAACAACAGCAGGAGCAGCAGCAGTAGTGTCAGAAGGAGATGGCTCCATGAGCTGGCCGTGGTATGCCATGAGGCTGTACTTGCGCTCGTATCTGAGAGGAGAGCGGGTGGGGAATAGCAGTGAGAAAGAATGGAAGGGAGAGAGGTCAGAGCAGCAGCAGCAGCAGCAGCAGCAGCAGCAGCAGCAGCAGCAGCAGCAGCAGCAGCAGCAGTAGTGTCAGAAGGAGATGGCTCCATGAGCTGGCCGTGGTATGCCATGAGGCTGTACTTGCGCTCGTATCTGAGAGCAGAGTGGGAGATACGGAGAGGGAGTGATGGAAAGGAGAGGGAGAAGTTGAAGGGAGAGGGAGAGAAGTTGAAGGGAGAGAGGCCAGATCAGCAGCAGCAGGGCCGTTATGGGAAGCAGCAGCAGGCTCCATGAGCTGGCCATGGTAGGCCATGAGGCTGTACTTGTGCTCGTATCTGAGAGCAGAGTGGAGGAATATATATAGAGTGAGCGAAATGGAAGCAAACAACGCCACTCTCTCGTACTGGAACTCAGACCGAGAGAGAGAGAGAGAGAGAGAGAGAGAGAGAGAGAGAGAGAGAGAGAGAGAGAGAGAGAGAGAGAGAGAGAGAGAGAGAAGAGGGGTGAGTTGATGGGCTTATGGTATTGAGGTTATCATGGATAGAACTGCATGTCTGTACCCCTGCTGAATTAATACAACGGACCATTTGAGAGAGAGAAGCTGGACGAGAGGGGCTCATTCATTTCCAGGTTGCACACGACACGACTTTGCCTTGGTTGCGTTGCGCAACCTTGGCTTGGGGACTTGCGACTAGCGGGACGTCTGGCAAAACGAGTGAGCACGAATCCGCAGCAGGTCGCCATTGCACCTGCGGGCTCACCTGGAACCACTTGGGCTACTCACCTGGCGCCACATTAGTCCTTCGTCTGAAGGCACCTGAGCGCTCACCTGAAGCCCATCATCCAGAAAAAGCGGCGAGCGAGGGGAGGGGGGAAGACAGCATACCCACTGGGTCCCCTTCGCTGCATGTCCTGAGAAAATGACATGGGATGATAGCGGGGTGGTGGAGGAAGATACATTGTGAGAATGATCTGGAGTGGTAGCTTGGTAAGACGATCAAGCTAAAGAGACTGGACTAAAAACAACCTCATAAAAAGAGCCCAACGTGGGTGTGAAGGCAGGGAAAATAGAGAAGGTGGGTGCTCCCATTGTAGCCACCAATCTCGCTGATTTCAGTGTTCCCACGAATCCTGGAGCTCCAACTGCTCCAACTGCTCTCACCACTCCTCACTGCTCTTCACTGCTCCTCACCGCTCCTCACCTGGATCAGCTTCCGAACGATTCGTCTGCCCACGCCCTTCTGCTGATACTCAGGCAGCACTGCCACATCGCAGATGGTGGCCTGGAAGAGGAAGAGAGGCACAGGAGAATAGAAGGGTTATCTTTCAAGGTGTCTCAAAAAACCTTCTGCTGATACTCTCTGGCAGCACTACCACATCGCATATGGTGGCCTGGAAGGGGGCGAAAGGTAAGAGAAGCACGGGAGAGTAGGAAGGTTGGCGGGGAGAGCAGCATTAGCTAGCAGCTAGAGTGGAGTGGAGTTGATAGTAAGGGAGGGGTGCCCATGCCCTTCTGCTGATACTCTCTGGCAGCACTGCCACATCGCATATGGTGGCCTGAAAGGGAGGGAAGAGAAGCACAGGGGAGAGGAAAGATCGTGAGAGAGGCTAGCACGAGAAGGGAGTTTTTGAAATTTCTCAAAAACTCCCTGCAATGCAAGATCGTGAGAGAGGCTGGCACGAGAAGCTAAGAAACAATACAGAGTTTATTTTGTCACTTATGGAACGGAAAGTAGAAAAGAGGGATATACCGAGGGGGGTTGGAGGGGAACGGCAGGCAGGATCGCATGGCGCATTGGGGCATGGGGGCATGGGGGCATGGGGATGACACGAAATGGATAGAGAGAATGAGCGCTTGGGATGGACGGCGAACGGGAAGAGGGGGGAGTGGGGAAGGGAGGGAGGCGGGAAGGAAGGAGTAAGGGTGAAAGAAAAAAAAGGGGGGGATAGTGGGAACTGGGAGAGGAAAATGGGGTGTGAATGGAGGGCATGGACAAGAGAGGGGCTACGAGAGAGGGGCGCTGTAAGGACGACACTCACTCACTCACTCACTCACTCACTGATAGGGGTGCAAATGATAGGGCTGCACTCACCACAAAGGATCCATCGGATATGGCTCTTCCCACGCCTGATACAGAGAGACAGGGAGAAGGGAGGAAGAGGGAAATGGGGAAAGGGTGAATGGGGGGAAAGGGAGGAAGGGGGAAAGGTGGGAAAAGGTGGGGAAAGGAGGAGTGGAGGGAAAGTGGGGGAAAGGGGAAAAAGGGAGGATAGTTTATCCGTTTTGGCACACGTGCAGATGGGCATGGATGAAGGCACGTGGACATGAGTAAACAGCACACGGGCTCGAGTGAGTGTATGGGCGCCTGGGCGCATTCACACCCACATGGGCTTGAGCCCAGGACACGTGCTGGGCGCATTCACACCCACATGGGCTTGAGCCCGCATGGACGTAAACAAACGGCACCAGGGCTTAAGTGAAGGGCACGTGGGTGGGTGTGAATGCGCTCACCAATGGTCTTGCCACGTTTGCCTGAGAGGCTGCGCTGCGACTCGTCCATCACCACCACGATCTGATGGGTGGCGAGAGAAGGGGGAGGGTGAAGAGAGAGGGTGAGAATGGGGGTCAAGGGCAGGAGCGGGGGGACGTCCAAGGCGCCTCAGACTGTTGGCCTGAGAGGCTGCGCTGCGACTCGTGCATCACCACCACGATCTGATGGGTGGAGGAGAAGGGAAGGGAGAGGGAGGGGGGAAAGAGGGGTGGTGGGAGAGGGGGGGAATGGGAGGAGGAAGGGAGAGGGCGCGAGAGTGGGAGGAGAAAGGGGGAATGGGAGGAGGGGGGGAGACCGACAGAGCAGCAGCACCATGCACAGAGAAGTTGAGTGAAGAGAGTGCGCCAGAACAGCACGCACGCACGCACGCACGCACGCACGCATGCATAAACCGTAATCCATCATGCCTGAACGACGAGCCTGAGTAGCTTAATAATAGCAAACACGTGGCAGAAAGAACAAACACCAGCTGCAGCAGCAGCAGCAAGCACCGAGTAGCTGTGGCGCATGGCCGTCATCACCTTAACAGCGTGAGTGACCGAGTGAGTGAGTAGCGAGCGTGCGAGTAGCTTAACAGCGTGAACGAACGAACAACAACTCACAGCACGCACCGAGTAGCTGTGGCGCATGGCCTTCATCACCTTCCTCGGCTCCCTATCCACCTTGAGCGTGTGGTACCACACATGCGCTATCTGATGGGGGCAGGGAGGGGACCACAAAGGGGGAAGGGGGAGACAGAGGAAAAGGGGGAGGGGAGCGGGGAGGAAAGAGGCGGACGAGGGAAGGGGAGCGATTATTGAAGCGCTTCCAAAGACCCGTTTCGCTTTGCAGGGTTTTTTTTTTTTTAATTCCACTTTGAAGTTCCACTTTGAGCGTGGGGTGGGGATACCCACGTGTTTGAAGAAGGGCTTTGAGAGTGGAACCTTCATAAAAAAACCCTTCCTCAAAAAAGTTCCACTTTGAGCGTGTGGTCCCCTCCCGGCCCCTTCCACACGTGGTATCTGATGGGGGCCGGGAGGGGACCACAAGGGGGTCCCGGGGGGGAGGGGGAGGGGGACGAGCATCCTGCATGGCATGGCATGGCATGGCATGGCATGGAATGAACGGCATAAAAAGCTTGGTGTTATGCAAGTGGTGGGAGCAATGGGAGACAATGGAAGGACGGGACTGGAGCTTTCAATTCGAACGAGTGGAGCGTCCCCGTTAATTACACCCACCATCAGTCCTCTCCTCGCTCTTGTCTTGTGTGCATGCATACGACTTGTTGCAATGCTCCCTTCACAAGCTCGCTTCAAACCAGCAGCTTCCCCCAACTCCCCCAGAACCATTCCCCCTTTCCCCATCCATCGGCCCCCCCTCTCTCTCCCCCTCCCCTCGTCCACCTCCTCGTTTTCCCTTTCATCTGAAGTTTTCAAGTTTAGAGTTCGCTAGTTAAAACTTTATCATATTCAGATGAAAGGGAACAAGCCCTTCCATCGCTCCCCCACCACCCGTCTCTTCTCACCTCGTCAGGATCCACGTCAGCAATGCTCGAGCTGTACGTCAGCGGACGTGGCAAGAAGCAGCGGCTCGGCTGCCCCGCAGGCGGCTGCCATCGCGCCTGCCCCGGTACAGGCCGCTCCGTTAACCGCGCCCGCAGAAACGTCGGTTCGTCCACTCCCACTGGGCTCCTCACGGTAATTGTGTTTCGTGAATCTGAAGGCGGAGCTTTCGGCGCCACTTGCGGCGCTACTTGCGGCGTCTTTTGCGCCTCCAAATCAAGCGCCGCTACGGCGGTAGCGACTGCACCCGCGGCGGTTTCGACGGCGGCGGAGGCGGCGGCGGCGATGGTTGCAGTGGGCGCAGCGGCCCCGGACGTGGCGGAAGGGGGTTGCGGGCCGCGAGAAGCGCCGGGGGAAACGGGGCCGGTAGCGGCGGCGGCGATTGCGGGGACGGTTGTGAAGCGCGCGCAAGTGCGGATGAGACGCGCGGGGAGAATTGTGCCAGTACCGTGCGGGGAAAGCGGCGCGCAGTGGAAAAATGTCGGGAGCTGCGTGGGAGAGAGAAGGACGCGCACACGCGAGCATTTGCGAGGAAGGGAAGTTGTGAGAGAGAGAGATGAGGAGAGACGCGAGGACGTGACGTTACATTCACTTTGGCGGGGCCTGAAGCTACTATTGGTCACCTAGAAGCAATTAAAAAGGAAATTGCAGGACGATTCAGAGAAATTCCAACGAAAAATCACGGAATTTTTACACACATGCGTTGAGAGTGGGCAAGATTCTAAGACGTCTCAATATGCCTTGTTAAATTGCATCAGACGGCCTTGAGAAGCTTCAGATGCCGAACTGAGTCTTGAGTCGACCCAGACACTGGGACCTACCTGCAACATTGGCTGCTGCTGCTGCTGCCGATGCCAATGCCAATGCCGATTGTGATTACAATGATGGTGCTGTTGCTGATTCGAAGAGCTTCCGTTGCAAGCCGTGTTACGAGCCGCGGTAACAGCCGCCGCCAGAGACGTCTTATGCGGCCTCTCAAGCGTTGCCCGTGAGCAGTTACAATGGGAGGCGGCGCGGAAAGAGGAGGGAGGCCGAATCGAGAGCGTAGAGCCCACAGGCGCCGTGCGTGCCGCCATGGCCGCAGAACGGTGGTCTTAGGGACGGAGCTAAGAGCGGAGCTAAGAGCGGAGCCAAGAGCGGAGCCAAGAGCGGAGCTAAGAGCGGAGCCAAGAGCGGAGCTAAGAGCGGAGCCAAGAGCAGAGCTACGGTGATGCTAAGGGCTAGGCTCAGGGTAATGCTAGGAATGACGGTACCGATGTGACCAATGCCGCTACGATTGACGCTACGAAGGAGGCTACGTATGACACGCGCTGCCAATTCTTAAATGGGCTGCTACCGTTGCTACTGTTGCTGCCGCCGCTGCTGCTGCTGCTGCTGCTCGCGGTAGTGTATCTATCGGCTGGTTCAAGTGCCTCAACTCATCCCCGCTCTAAGAAAGGGAGCGACCTTTTTTAGTAACTTCAGCGGACAATCAAGGACGAAAGGCGCCGCGTGAATGCTGGTGAGTCATTAATATCTCAGGCGCCTAAGCTTGAAGTGTGGGCCGAAGACAAAGCGGGGCTGAGCAGGGAGCAAGACAGAGAGAAGGTTGATGGGGAGAAGGTATAGAGATTAGGAATGACGAGGAAGGGACTTCTATTCTATGGGCGGACAGAGAGGGCGCGAATTGGAAGAGAACGGGAGAGAGGCTGGTAGAGAACGGGGCGTTCGAGGCGCTAGTGCTGACGCAGATACAGTAGCGGAAGAAGGTGATAAGGTAGGTGCGATGGATGATGCGGAAAGGAGACTGGGTATGGTGATCAGACGCGACGCGTTGAGATGCGATGATGAGGAGGATGAAAGAGAGGAGGTGTGTGAGAGTGTGAGACAAGACGACGATCACGACGACAACGACTTGTGTCGGACGCTGATTCGACGGCCGAACGAGAAGGTGACGCGACGCGAGGGGAGATGGGCAAAGGCGGAGAGGCGGCTGCCTTGCCTTGCCTCGTTGGTAGCGGGGCGGAGGCTGGGGTGGATTACAGCGGAGAGTGATGGGATGGACCGAACAACACAGATCAGTGGCAGACAGAGGAAAAAAGCTTCACCAACCAGCCAGCGATGGCGCGGGATAAAGCAAGCGAGTGAAAAACAGAAGCGTAGGCGAGGCGAGGGGGGTCTCGCCCTCCGTGAATTCCTCGAGCCTCCCTACTCGCACCTCGAGGTCCGGAATTTCTGGTCACCTACACTGGTTAGTTTGGGGTGTGTGTAAATTACACAGCGCAGCTTTGAATCAGAGAGTCAGCTTCTGAAACGCTTCAAATTCCATTGAAGCTTATATTATCTTTCTAAACCACACCCTTCTACATCTGATTTTACAACATTTCCTCCTTTCCCCCAACCGACCAATTCAACCAACGAGCGCGACAGATGGTGCATGCGGATCTCCCCCCAACAGAGAGATGAAGGACCAGCGACGGGGTGGATGGTGCGGTATGGTGGGGTTTTTTGTGCGTTTCAAAATGGTTCTCCACGTTCTTTCTCAGTTGTGACTGGTGAGAAGGGTGGCCGTATCCGCAAAGAGCGGTTTGTGAAACGCGGGCGCGGGGGGGGGAGGCTGGCGTGGACATGCGGATAACTTCGATGAGGTGGAATTGGTTTAAGTAGAGTTTTCAGACGGTGCGACATGTTCACAGTCGGTTCTTACGCGGAAGCGGTGTCCGCAATCTTGGTAATGGAGGTGTTGTGCGGATGGAAGCAACTGGAACATGGAGACGGAGAGATGCCCCCCAATGCCTTCGGCAACTCAGATGGGCGACGCGTGTGAAATATGCGGTTGAAAGACGCCCTCCTCGAGCCGCTCCATGTGGGTATGACTGGATGTCACAAAAAAATGTGGTGGGAATGAAGAAAATAATGGGGAAGAAGAAAGCTGTACCTCATTTTGCGCTGACTAGCTCTGGACAAACGAAGAAACAAAACAAGCCCTGAGACAAAATGGTGGGAGAAATTTGGACACGTCAGGCGCGCTTGTATATACGTGTCCATGCGTCAGCCGCAGCTGCAACCCCCAAGTTTCAGCAACAAGTGTGAGGTGGGGTGCTGTTACGAGTGCAATTGAGTGATCGAACGAGAATTGCACTATCGAAGCAAGAGCACAATGAGAGAAGAATATATAGAGAAACTATAGTGGTAACGGTAATGAACTGTGGTTGACGCGCGACGGGCCTGGAACTGAGGTTGGGAAAATGTCGAAGCGGAGGCCCGGAACGCGGGATACCCGCCGAGCCGTGAGGTCGGAGTGCGACGTGCGAAGGTGGCGGGAGGATTGTCGTTGCAAGGGTTGCGAGTGGTAACGGTGCTTACTGTGGTGCTACAGTGCTGTACGTGCTAAGCAGGGACGCGAACTAAGGAAAAGGATTTTTCCTTACACTACCCCCCCCCCCCCCCCTCCCCCCCCCACCTAAGGAGGTCCTCCTTACGAAAACGCGTGTACATCTCGGAAATTTCGGCAGCGCAGATACTCTGTGAGGACGGGGTGGTTTTCGACTCTGTCCAGGGGAACCCAGTTGTCTTCGGTGGGTGTACGGTCATTCCAGTGGATCACGAACTCGATCCTTCGAGCTCCCCGTGGGTCACGAACTCTGTGGCTCATAATTTTCTCAGGTGTGATGATTGGTTCGGTCGGCGGTCGTGTCATGCTGGCTGGCCGATTACGTGGCAGTTGGCTTGTGGACAGTATGTAAGGGCGAAGTAGGTTGATGTGGAAGGACGGGCTGAGGTACCGGTCAGCGGGGAGGAGGAGGTGGGCGGTGACGGGTGTAATCATGTGGCTAATGCGGAATGGTCCACAGTATTGGGGGCGAAGTTTTGGGGTGATGGGCAGGCGGAGGTTCTGGGTGTCAAGTAAAACTAGGTCGTCAGGCTGGTCAGTGACAGGTCTGCGGTGGAGGTCGGCGTTGCGTTTAGCGATGATGTTCGATTTTTTAATTGCGTCTGTTGCCCAGGTCCGTGCTGCTTGTAAAATTTCGGCGAACTGTTGTGCTCGTGGCACCGGGTTGTCGGGATGCGGGGTCATGGGTACTGTCGGGTCTTGTCCGTAGTTCAGGTAAAACGGCGACTGTTGGGTCGTGGCGGAAGATGAGTTGTTGTACGCGAACTCGATGAGTGGCACTTGTTGTTCCCAGGTGGTTGGGTCGTCGCACGTGGCTCGAATGAGTTGTTCCATGGTCTGAATTGTCCTCTCTGCCTGTCCGTCGGTCTCGGGGTGGTACAAAGAACTGAACTGTAGTCGCGTGCCGAACTGCTGCCAAAGGTTCCGCTAGAAGTTGCTGGTAAATTTCTTATCTCGGTCGCTGGTGATCGCTGCTGGTATCCCGTGCAGTCGAACGACGGTGGAGATGAAGAGGCGTGCTGTTTCTTCGGTTGTGATTGGTTTTTTGCAAGCTGCGAAGTGTGCCATTTTCGTCAGTCGATCGACGACGACCAGGATCGCGTCGTTCCCACTCGCCCCGGCCGGTAACCCCGTGACGAAATCCATCGTCACCTGCTGCCAAGCACGCTCTGGGGGTGGTATCGGCTGCAATTGTCCTGCCGGCCGCTTCCGTGATGATTTCATGAGCTGGCAAGTGGGACACGATGCCACGTGTTGCTGTACGTCGGTCAACATCTCGGGCCAGTAATAATACCGCTGCAGTTGCTGCCGCGTTTTCTCTACCCCGAAATGCCCTGAGGTAACTCCGTCGTGTGCCTCCTGTAACAATAACTCTCGTAGCATTGTGTACCCTGGTACCCAGATGCGGTCGGTTCCGGCTTTTACGTAATAGACTCCCTTTGCTGCTGCAAACTACTGCGAATTTCCTCTTGTGAAGAATGGATCTGTTTGGTACCCGTGGGTAAATAGGCCTGTCAGTAGTGGACTGGTCTAGGCGAGTAGTATTGCGTGGATCTGGGCAGTGGGGCGGGTCAGGGCGTCGGCGATCTTCGATGCCCCCTTTTTATAGGTGACTATGTAGTGGAAGTTTGACTCGAGAAAATTGAGCCAGCGAATCCGTCGTGGGTTGAGGTGTGGCTGTGCGCGGAGGTACTGTAGTGATTTATGGTCTATCCGTACTAGCACGTCTGCGCCGGTCAAGTAACAAAGCCACACTTTGAACGAGTGCACGATCGCAAGCATTCGCGATCGTGTATCGGGTAATTTTTCTCGGGCGGATGCAGTTTTCGTGACTCATATGCGATGGGCTGTAGGCCGTTGCCGAAGTCCTATAGCAGTACGGCTCCGATGGCGATGTCGCTTGCGTCGGTAACTACTTCGAATGGGCGGTATGGGTCGGCGATGCGCAGGACGGGCGGTGAAGAGAGAACATTTTTCAGGGCAGAGAAGGCAGCATGCTCTTTCTCCCCCCACGTAAAAGCGACCCCCTTCCGTAACAAGTTTGTCAGCGGCGCTGTTAACCGTGCCATGTCGGGGACGAACCGACGCACGTAATTGACGAACCCCAAAAAGCTCTGTAGTTCCGTGATATTCGTCGGGGGGTGCCCCGCTTTCACCGTATCCAGCTTCTTCGGGTCAATTTCGACCCCAGCCTCCGAAATAACGTGCCCCAAAAACTCTAGCCTGTCCTGAAAAAACTCGCACTTGGAACCCTTGGTTAGTAGCTGATGCTCGTCTAAAATTTTAAATACTGCTTCTAGATCTGCTAAGTGCAGCTACCTGTTGTCAGAATATATTTGCTGTCTAGCCTGCAGTGGGGTACTCTGTAATGAGTACAACCCAATTTAGGGCAATGTACTTGTATCCCAACTCTTGCTAGTCACTTCCCTTCCAATTTCTCGACTCTCACCTAACCCACTCGAACTTACCTATCTCCTAGTGTGGGCCTAGGCTACTAAGCCTAGGCCCCACACCTAATATTTTCACATGTTATCAGAGCCCGTTCTACCTTGGCCTGTGGGCCCCTATGCTTCCGCTGCAGTCCTTCTTCCCTAAACCCGAATTTTTTTTTAGGATTTCGGAGTTTTTCATCCCGCCGTGCGCTCGGGGCGCGCGGCGGTTTTCCCGTCCTTCGAAGCGCCCTCGGGGGGCCTGCGCGCTGCCCTCCCCGCTGCTCGTCGCGACGCCCGTGCGGGACCCGCGCGGCGTCACCCTGCTCGTCGCGACGTCCGTGCGGGACCCGCGGGGCGTCGCCCCTGCTCGTCGCGACGTCCGTGCGGGACCCGCGCGGCGCCGCCCTACTTGTCGCGACGTCCGTGCGGGACCCGCGGGGCGTCGCCCCTGCTCGTCGCGACGTCCGTGCGGGACCCGCGGGGCGTCGCCCCTGCTCGTCGCGACGCCCCATGCGGGACCCGCGGGGCGCCGTCAGTTCCTGCAGCAGCAGCCGCCGCCGCCCTGCAGCAGCAGCCGCCGCCAGGCCTACAGCAGCAGCCGCCGCCAGGGTCTGCAGCAGCAGCCGCCGCCAGAGCCTGCTGCAGCAGCCGCCGCCAGGGTCTTCAGCAGCAGCCGCCGCCAGGGTCTGCAGCAGCAGCCGCCGCCAGAGCCTGCAGCAGCAGCCGCCGCCAGAGCCTGCAGCAGCAGCCGCCGCCAGAGTCTACAGCAGCAGCCGCCGCCAGAGTCTGCAGCAGCAGCCGCCGCCAGACCTGCAGCAGCTGCCGCCACCGACCCAGCAGCAGCAGCCGCCGCTCTATCAGCAGCAGCAGCCGCCGCCGCTCTGCCGCAGCAGCTACCGCCGCCCAGCTGCAGGTGCCGCCCCTGGACCCCAGAAGCCGCCCCTGGACCCGGTACGCCTTGTGCTGCCAGTGCCTGTGCTGCCCGTGCCTGTGCTGCCCGTGCCTGTGCTGCCTGTGCCTGTTGCTGCCCGTGCCTGTTGCTGCCCGTGCCTGTGCTGCCAGTGCCTGTGCTGCCCGTGCCTGTGCTGCCCGTGCCTGTGCTGCCCGTGCCTGTGCTGCCCGTGCCTGTTGCTGCCCGTGCCGGTGCTGCGCGTGCCTGGTGCTGCCCGTGCCTGTGCTGCCCGTGCCTGTGCTGCCTGTGCCTGTTGCTGCCCGTGCCTGTTGCTGCCCGTGCCTGTGCTGCCCGTGCCTGTGCTGCCCGTGCCTGTGCTGCCCGTGCCTGTGCTGCCCGTGCCTGTGCTGCCCGTGCCTGTTGCTGCCCGTGCCTGTGCTGCCCGTGCCTGTTGCTGCCCGTGCCTGTGCTGCCCGTGCCTGTGCTGCCCGTGCCTGTGCTGCCCGTGCCTGTGCTGCCCGTGCCTGTTGCTGCCCGTGCCTGTGCTGCCCGTGCCTGTGCTGCCTGTGCCTGTTGCTGCCGGTGCCTGTTGCTGCCCGTGCCTGTGCTGCCCGTGCCTGTGCTGCCCGTGCTGTGCTGCCCGTGCCTGTGCTGCCCGTGCCTGTGCTGCCCGTGCCTGTTGCTGCCCGTGCCTGTGCTGCCCGTGCCTGTTGCTGCCCGTGCCTGTGCTGCCCGTGCCTGTGCTGCCCGTGCCTGTGCTGCCCGTGCCTGTGCTGCCCGTGCCTGTTGCTGCCCGTGCCTGTGCTGCCCGTGCCTGTGCTGCCCGTGTCTGTGCTGCCCGTGCCTGTTGCTGCCCGTGCCTGTGCTGCCCGTGCCTGTGCTGCCCGTGCCTGTGCTGCCCGTGCCTGTGCTGCCTGTGCCTGTTGCTGCCCGTGCCTGTGCTGCCCGTGCCTGTGCTGCCCGTGCCTGTGCTGCCCGTGCCTGTTGCTGCCCGTGTCTCGTGCTCGCGCCCCCGTGCGCTCTGCTACTGTCTGCGCCCTCGTGCGCACTGTCCCCCCCCCCCCCCCGTTTGCGGGTGTGGGGGTGCTCCGTTTGTGTCGCCCCTTCCTTCTCCTCCTCCGTCGTCTCCCACTGCTGCAGCTGTCGCTGAGGGGGGTGGTTGTGTGGGAGACTGGGGTTTAGGGTTTAAGGGGGGTGCGTGGGAGTGGAGCTAGGGGTGTAGCAGCGGGTGTGTGTCAGGGGGGTGAGACTGTTTGTGGGAGGTTGAGCGGAGGCTGCCGTCTTGTAGTCCGCAGCACCTGTAGTCCGGGGCGCTGTCCTGGTAGCCCAGTGAGCCTGCTGCGCCTGTCGCCCGTGGGTCCGTTGCTCCTGCCGCTCTTCGTAGCCGCCGAGCCAGTTACTCCAGTAGTCCGGGGCGCTGTCCCGGTAGCCACTGTGCCAGCCGCTCCTGTTGCCCGTGTGTCTGCAGCTTCAGCAGTCGCCTCCCATCTCCTCTCCTCTCACTCTCCCTCCTCCTCCTCACCTGCCCATTGTGACCACCACTAGCTTTGCTGATAATTGTGCACTTTAACTATTGCTTCTTGAACTTGTGCTCAGAATGTGTGGTGACATTGTGATCCACCCTGAGCTTGTACTGCTTTGCCTGCTCTGCTGATTTCACCCCACTTTGGCTATGGGGGTGTGTCAGAATATATTTGCTGTCTAGCCTGCAGTGGGGTACTCTGTAATGAGTACAACCCAATTTAGGGCAATGTACTTGTATCCCAACTCTTGCTAGTCACTTCCCTTCCAATTTCTCGACTCTCACCTAACCCACTCGAACTTACCTATCTCCTAGTGTGGGCCTAGGCTACTAAGCCTAGGCCCCACACCTAATATTTTCACACCTGTCGCGACTGTAGACGAGGATGTCGTCGAGGTAAACTATCACGCATTTATCTAAAATTGGCCTAAACGCCTCGTTCATGGTCATCTGGAATGTCGCTGGTGCGTTGGTCAGCCAGAAGGGCATCACGGTGTACTCGAACGACCCGTACCTAGTCCGAAAAGCTTTTTTGGCGCAGTCCGATGGTTCGACTCTAATCTGATGGTAACCTCCCCGTCAATCTATTTTCGACAAAACCCGTGCTGTTTCGCAGTTGGTCTATCAGTTCGTCGACGCGGGGAATGGGGTACAGCGACTTGACTATTACCATGTTGAGCGCTCGGTAATCGATGTGTCAAACTCATATGCTATAGTCTGTGTAGGCTGTAGTGGGGTAGACAATATGGGGTACAACACTTTTAGGTTTTCCTACTTGTACCCACCTGCTTGCTAGTTCATCCATTCCTTGTTCTTTCACATGGTATAGAGCAGGTTCCCTAGTGGGAACGTTTCCTAGGGCCCACCGAATATCGATTTTTTTTGCTGCCCGGAGCGCGCTTCGCCCCTGCCCGAGTCGCGCCCCGTGTGCCTACCCTCCCGTCGCGTCCCCTGCCCTTAGTGGCCCGTCGCGCTCCCCTACGGCCCCGTAGCGGCCCCTCTCACGGCCTCTCACGGCCCCTCTCACGGCCCTTCGCGGCCCCTTCAGACCCCTCGTGGCCCCTTCGCGGCCTCCCTTCGCGGCCCCTTTGCGGCCCCTTCACGGCCCCTTCGCGGCAACTTCACGGCCCCTTCACGGCCCCTTCGCGGCCCCTTCGCGGCCCCTTCACGGCCACTTCGCGGCACCTTCACGGCCCCTTCACGGCCCCTTCAGAGCCCCTTCGCGGCCCCTTCACGGCCCCTTCGCGGCCCCTTCGCGGCCCCCTTGCGGCCCCCTCACAGCCCCTTCGCGGCCCCTTCGCGGCCCCTTCACGGCCCCTTCACAGCCCCTTCGCGGCCCCTTCACGGCCCCCCCTCGAGGCCCCCCTCACGGCTCCCTTCACGGCCCCTTCTCGGCCCCCTCGCGGCCCCCCTCGCGGCCCCTTCGCGGCCCCTTCGCGGCCCCCTCACGGCTCCCTTCGAAGCCCCTTCGCGGCCTCGCCCCGTCGCCAGTCGCGGCCCCGCCGCGTCGCCCCCACCTCGTCGCGTCGCCCCTGCGGGACCCGCTAGGCGCGGCTCCTGTGCGTCGCGACGCCCCTGCGGGACCCGCGTGGCGTCACCCCTGCCCGCCGCGGCGCCCTGCCCTAACCCGAACCTGGAGCAGCCGCCACTGCAGCAGCCGCCCCTAGAGCAGCCGCCCCTGCAGCAGCCGCCCCTGGAGCAGCCTCCCCTGTAGCAGCCGCCCTTGGAGCAGCCGTTCCTGAAGCAGCCGCCCCTGGAGCAGCCGCCCCTGAAGCAGCCGCCCCTGGAGCAGCCGCCACTGCAGCAGCCGCCCCTGGAGCAGCCACCCCTGCAGCAGCCGCCCCTGGAGCAGCCGCCCCTGCAGCAGCCGCCCCTGGAGCAGCCGCCCCTGCAGCAGCCGCCCCAGGAGCAGCCGCCACTGCAGCAGCCGCGCCTAGAGCAGCCGCCACTGCAGTAGCCACCCCTGGAGCAGCCGCCCCTGCAGCAGCCGCCCCTGGAGCAGCCGCCACTACAGCAGCCGCCCCTGGAGCAGCCTCCCGTGCAGCAGCCGCCCCTAGAGCAGCCGCCCCTGAAGCAGCCGCCCCTGAAGCAGCCGCCCCTGGAGCAGCCGCCCCTGGAGCCGCCGCCACTGCAGCAGCCGCCCCTGGAGCAGCCACCCCTGGAGCAGCCACCCCTGAAGCTGCCGCCCCAGGAGCAGCCGCCCCTGCAGCTGCCGCCCCAGGAGCAGCCGCCCCTGCAGCAGCCGCCCCTGGAGCAGCCGCCCCTGCAGCAGCCGCCCCTGGAGCAGCCGCCCTTGCAGTAGCCGCCCCTGGAGCAGCCGCCACTGCAGCAGCCGCCCCTGGAGCAGCCACCCCTGCAGCAACCGCCCCTGGAGCAGCCGTCCCTTCAGCAGCCGCCCCTGGAGCAGCCGCCCCTGGAGCAGCTGCCCCTACAACTGCCGCCCCTGGAGCAGCCGCCCCTGCAGCTGCCGTGGAGCCCTCGCCCTATAGTGGTAGCGGCCTCGCCGTTGCCGCCGTCGTACGCCTGCCCTTCTCGCCACTGGTGAGCACTGCCCTGCCCGTACTGCTGCTACTGCTGCTCTTGCTGCTACTGCTCTTTCTACTGCTAGTGCTGCTCTTGGCGTGGCCAGATGCAGCTCCAGCGTCGTCCGTGTGAGTCCCTCAGCCCCCAACAGCTTCGTGAGTGGTACGCTAGTTGGGGTTATAGGGGTGGCCGCGCTGCGACTACTGCTATTACTACTGCGGCTACCACTGCTCCTGCTGCTCCTGGCGGTGGCCAGATGCAGCCCCAGCGATGTCAGCGTGAGTCCCTCACGCCCCAGCAACTTCGTGAGTGGTACGCTACTTGGGGTTGTCGTGGTGGCTGTAGTGGGAGTCGTCCTGGAGTGAGTAGTTTGGCCGCTGCTTCTAGTGGCCAGGTGCAGCTGCAGCGTTGTCCGTGCGCGGTCCTTTCGCCCCAGCAGCTTCGTGACTGGTACGCTCAGCGTGACGGGTCACGGGGTAATGCTCGCTGTCCGTACGTCATTCTCACTAGTGCTCGGACTGGTCAGCCTTGCGGGACGTTTGGTCACACAGAGTTCCGCTGCTTCGCCCGTCTGAGCGACGCCTGGCGTACGGAGTTTGGCGACGCGGCTGAGCTCCCCGACTGGGTGCAGCGGCTTAGGCTGTGGGTAGATATCTATACTCTTGACTATGATGCTATCCTCAGTGCCATGTATGCATTGCCTACTAGTGATGAGGGTGACTGTTACCTGTGTGTTCCGCCTGACCCGGGCATTGAGGCTGCTGCCCTAGGTGCTGGTGAGGCTGCTTCTCTAGGTGCTAGTGCGTCTGCTGCCCCAGGTGCTGGTGAGGCTGCTCTCTCAGGTACCACGTCGGCTCAGGCCTTACACACCTTAACCCTTGACTCACGTGCTTCCCACTCCTTCTTTCGAGACCGCACAACGCTTACGCCGCTTAATCGGCCAGTTGCGGTCTCCCTGGCAGACCCCTCTGGGGGTCCTGTCCTTGCCCACTTCTCCACTGTCTTGCCGTGTCCGGCAGCCCCCTCTGGCACCCTGTCAGGTCTCTACCTCCCCTCGTTCTCTACAATCTTGGTGAGTGGTGCTGATCTACAGGATGGGGGGTGGACCAGTTCACTCCTGCGAGTCAGCGGGTGACCCACTGTACGTGTGCTTGGACGGGCCGACACTTGGCCACGTTTACCCGTCAGCCGGGGTCAAGCCTGTAAACATTGACTAGAGTAGAGTCTCTTCCGGTTGCTGCGTGTGGTCAGGTAGCTGCGTCGGGTCATGCGTTTGCTGCAGCGTCCAGGTCTGGTCCTGAGTCTGCTCCCTGCTCGTGTCGTCTCCTGTCCCACCAGACTCTCTTTTGGCACCACCGCCTTGGTCACCCCTCCCTGCCTCGTCTCCGAGGCATGGCCTCCCATGTCCTTGTCTCTGGTCTCCCCCGGTCCCTCCCTCCCCTCCCTCCGGGGCCTGCCCCTACCTGCATTCCCTGCGTTGAGGGGCAGCAGCGCGCCGCCCCTCACTCCTCCGAGTTTCCTCCGAAAGAGGTTCCCCTGCAGACTCTTTACATGGACGTGTGGGGCCCCGCCCGCGTCCGTGGCCAGGGTCACGAGCGTTACTTCCTGTTGGTGGTTCACGACTACTCGCGTTACACCACGGTGTTACCCTTGCGCAGCAAGGGTGACGTCACTGAGGTGTTGATCGACTGGATCCGCGCAGCTCGTCTCCAGCTCAGAGAGAGTTTCGGCTCGGACTTTCCTGTTCTGCGTCTGCACTCTGACAGAGGGGGGGAGTTTTCCTCTGCCCGTCTGGGAGCCTTCTGTCGTGCGCAGGGCATCCGCCAGACCTTCACGCTTCCGGCCTCTCCACAGCAAAATGGGATTGCTGAACGCCGCATTGGCATGGTCATGGACGTCGCTCGTACGTCCATGATCCATGCGACTGCTCCCCATTTTATGTGGCCGTTTGCGGTTCAGTACGCAGCGCATCAGCTCAACCTTCAGTCCCGGATCTCCTTGCCAGAGACCTCCCCCACCTTGCGGTGGACGGGGAAGGTTGGCCATGCGTCTGCGTTTCGGATCTGGGGATCTCCGGCGTTTGTCTGCGACTTGTCTGCGGACAA